GCTGGGATTAAAAATGTGTTCCACCTTCGAGGCCAGCCTGGTCTACAAAGCTAGTTCCGGGACAGGCACCAAAGCTACAGAGAAACCCTGTCTCGAAAAACCAAAAAAAAAAGAACCAAAGAAACAAAAATGTGCCCCACCACCATCCAGCTTTAAATCCTAAAATTTCTAAGCAGCTTTTTTTTTCTTAATTTGAAGTTTGTGTGACTATATCTGTGTGAAGATACATGCACATGTATGAGCATGTCCCCTTGGAGGTTAGAAGAGGGTGTTTGATGTCTTGGAGCTGTAATTTCAGAAGTTTGTGAGACACCTGTCATGGATGCTGAGATGCAAACGCTGGGCCTTCTGAGTGAGCTGGGTTGGCTCTCGCTGGCTGAGCCATCTCTCTAGCCCCGAAGTAGCTTTATTTTTCTGCTATTCTGACCTGGATAGATATCTCCACACCAACCATCAGATGTTTGCATTGTTTTTCTGCTGGAGTTCAGTTTTTTGTTTTTTGTTTTTTTTTAAAATGATCGTTAAGGCTGGGCGATGGTGGTGCACGCCTTTAATCCCAGCACTCAGGAGGCAGAGGCAGGTGGATCTCTGTGAGTTCGAGACCAGTCTGGTCTACAAGAGCTAGTTCCAGGACAGGCTCCAAAGCCACAGCGAAACCCTGTCTCGAAAAACCAAAAAAAAAAAAAAAAAAAAGATCATAAGGTTTCTTGTTAGAAGAATTCAGTGTTTCTGAGCTCCGGCAACTCCTATGTGTCTTCATTGCTAAAACATGGACTTGTTTTGAACTTTACTCCAGTTCTAATAATCTGTTTATGTGAGGATAGTTGGCTTGTATGTGTAATCAGAGCACTGAGGAGCAGTGGCAGGTTCAAAGCAGCTAGAGCAGCATACGGAGACTGTCTCAATTAAAATCCCCAAACTAATGTACCCTCCTAACCTAGGGTCTTGCTGTGTTTTTATTAGTTCTCCAGTTCAAAGGGAAGACAGACTCCATGAAGGACCACAATACACAATGAGGATACCTCAGTTTGTCAGATGGTGTTGGTCTGACTACTGGATTTTTCTGTTGTTTCCTGTCAATATGTGGGCTCCTTATTGCCAAATTATCCCTGTATATTAGGATACCCTTTTACGTGTTGGGCTTTTGGCAACTCGAGTACTAGGGATATTCCTAAATTGGATATAAACCCCACTCACGATAGGTCCACTAATGCCCTTGGATGTGATGATAATGCCAAAGCTTTTCACAGTTTTCAGAGTCCCCCTCTCATAACAGAGTAGGATTCTATCTATTTCCAACTCTTCTGATGTTAGATTTGGCCATGTGATTTCACTGGTCAATAAAATGTGAATGTACATTGCTTCTGATGGAAGATTTTTAATTTTTAATTGTTTTAAACAGCCAGAGCAAGACATTGAACATCTAGCAATTAAATTCTATGATCCCTACTCTGGAAATCTTGAAGGCCCATGTCTTAGGGAAGCATCCAGCAATCCTGGTACCTCAGGGAATGCAGTGAATGGAAACCCTGAAAAGTACACCATGCAGAGTTCCGTAGATCTACAAGACACATTCCTTCTCCAAACACTGGAAGCCCTGGTAACCGACAGGTGGATCCTTCCTTGAGAATTTTTCTTGACTAAGGTCCCCTTCCATCCCTCCCTGCAGTCTCTATACAACAACTGGTTGATAGAGACCTGGTGTCCTGCCACATTTTGGGACAATCCTGAAAAAGTCACCCTAATTCCAGAGTCCCTGAAGATTGGTGGAAACTTCATTTGCAACTATGTTACCGCTCAGTCCAGCCGAGGTCTCTAGTTCTGTCTGCCTTGATTCCAGAGAGATATTCTAATATTGCATACAAACCCCACTCCTGATAAGTCTCCTAACGCTTCTACTAAACACAAACCAGGGTAAATACATTTGTCTCAGTAAGCTAACAAGATCTGGGGGACGTTACTATAACTTAGCCCATCCTGATCGCTGGATCGGACCTTACTATCTGTTCTGTCTTCACCCGTTAGACTTGTACTGCTGTCTTCTCTAGTAGATTACGTCATTGCTAACTTTTGTGAATCATCACATCTCAACTAGAGAGTGATTTTTAAGGGCAACAGAAAAGGAAGGAACTACATACCAAGGTCTACGGATTAATTATTCCTGCTAAATTAGTGGCATGAACTTTTTCAGCATGAATTTCCTAAGACTTCCTTCCTACATAATTTATTACGCATATATAACATGTACAAGGGCACTTACTTAATGTTTCTTAGGAAAATTTTATGCAAATAATAGTTGAATAATAAAGTACTCGACCGCAATTCGAGGAAGAAAAATTGTATTTCACCAGTTAACAAACTTCCTGCACCTTCAACATCTGTCATTTCTCTGAGAACTAGATCTCATGTCTTGAAAGCTAAATGTTAAAACAATGCCAGTTCCTTATTTTAGGCCTTTTAGTCAAAATAAAATATGGTAGTAAAGGTAAGGAGCCAATGCATATGCTCCTTATTTTTCAAAAGGGATTTTATTTCATAGAAAAAAATTCTCTCTGCCTGAAGGATAAACAATATAAAAATATTTCAGCTAAAAAAAAAAAACAAAACAAAACAAAAAAAAAAAAACAAAAACGAGAGCCCTGGGCAGGTATTACCACAACTCTTAATTATAGCAGATATTTACTAAGATAACAGAAACCAGTTTAAGGAATGTGATTTATTAACATCACGTTCAGATAAAGAGATAAAAGACTTGAATAAGCAAGCAAACTTGAGGAGTGTATTTATGAATGTATCCTGGAACAGCCTTTAGCCACAATGAAAGACCGGCAAAACCAGCCTTCAGAACAGCCTTTCTGCCTACCGGGAGAAGGGAGGGCTAGACTTCATCTCTTAAGATCGCCCTCCCACGCAAATTTTCCACCTCGCAGTTAAAGAATTAAACCCAGACTTCCGATCATGGCGCCAAGCACGTCACCTTCTCCCTTCTCCTCTAGCAAAATCCCACCCAAGTCGGCTGACCCCCGCAGGGGATAGTCATAGTCCCCCCTCCCCTATCCTGGTTGCCTGAATCTAACCAAACTGTGATTAAAAAAGAAATAAAGAAAATGCTTAAAGCCGTTCTGGGAAACTGCGGTGCGGGCGAGACCTTCCGCATGGCTTGAGTGAGGAGACAGGCTCCCACTCCATACCTGGAGGCAGAAGTCTGCGCCGGCCGCAGCTCTCCTGCAAAGCCCCTCCAGCCTTTGTGCACACCACCCTCCCCGGGAGAGGCCGCGGGGACGGCTGCTGCAGGAAAAGGCCGACCCGGGTGGCCTAGCGCGCGCACGGGGCAGCGTCGCGGTCCTCCCCGCGGAGGCCGAGGCTTTTGTTTGCACGGCGAGGGGAGGGGAAGGCGACGCGGCCCGGGGTCTCGGCTCCCGCTGCAAACGGCGGCGGGACGTCCTCCAGGCTTTCCGCCCAGACCCCAGGGTAGCATGGCCTTTCCTGCCCCCTCCCCCCCAGAAGCTCGCACAGATCGCCACGCCATCCACGTGCGGAAGGGACGCGGGTGTGAGGAGGTGGAGGGGAGAAACCGAGGCTGCCCGCCCCACGCCGGCCCCACCCTGCCCCGGGTCCGCCCGGGCGACGAGACGCCGCGCCAGGGCCAGCCTGGGAGCGAGGGGCGTGGCCGGGCGGGGCCGCGGGCGCGCAGGCGCAGTGCGTCTCGCCGCCGGCGCCGCCGTAGCCGCCCGCGCTGCACCACTGGCCCGAGACAGACAGGGGTCGGGGAGAGAGAGAGGGGAGGAGGCGGCGGCGGAGGCGGGGCGACTCCGGTGACCGGGAGCGCCTCAGACTGGCAGCTGCGGCGACTCCCCCCTTTGTGTCTGGTCTGCTCGGAGCCGCCGGAGCCGCTTCCCGGAGGGGTGTGGGGTGTTTCGCAAGCCCCCGCTACCCACCCCTTCCTCGGCCACCTACGTCCGTCTTCCCGCCGCCCCCCGCCCTCGGCCCGCGACGCCCAGAGCTGCGGAGAGCGAGGCGGCGGTGGCGGCGGCGGCGACGGCGGCTTCGGCTTCTTCCTCGGGCTGTGCTGTGATTCGTTCCTGAGAGCCGTCGACGGGAGGAGACCGGGCTTCTTCCACGGTGCTGGGATTTCCTGCAGGCCCCCGGAGCCGAGCGGCGGGAAGAGCCGACAGCGAGGCCGCGCGGGCCGAGCGCCCTCGGAAGGCCAGCCGGGGCCGCCCCGCACCTCCCCGCGTGCGGCGCTCCGGGGCTCGCCGGGGCCGCGACCCTCGCCTCCCCTCCCCCGCGCCCCGAGGCCCGGCCTGCTGCCTGCCTGCCTGCCTGCCTGCCTGCGCGACCCTCGCGCGATTGTTCCGAGGAAGCCGTGGACTCGCCCATGGAGGCCGGCACCTTTTTCGACCCAGTCGGTGGAGAGGATTTATTGATGTCGGAATCCGAGTGAAGCAAGCAACGAGGCGAAACTTTCAACGGAGACCCTACCCGTCTGCACTCCGAGTCCGGAGCGATGCGACTCGGGCGGCCGGGCGCCGCCGCCCGCCCCGCTGCGCCCTTCCCGGCGGTCGGGAACTTGTTCTGATCCTCAGTGCCCCCATCGAGTCCCCGCCCTCCATCCCCCCACCCCCACCTCCGGCACTCTGGATATGTTTTCTCCCAGATCTGGATATTTTTTTGATATCGTGAAGCTACGAGGGAAATAATTGCAGGCATTTCTTCAGGGCTCTCTGCTTCTCTCCTCCCTCTCCCTCCCTCCCCCCACGGACATGCCTTCAGTTTGGGGAGCCGAGGCACCCTGTCCTAGGCGAATGAAGCCCCCCAGCCACGAGGGAGCGAAATGAAGGGAAATTCTGCAGTGGAATGAGAGCTCTCCAGCTAGGTCCTCGCATCTGCCATTTGTCCTTTCAAACTGCATTGTAATCCGGGCAGGATAAATCAGACGGAGAGACGAGCAGCCTCCTGGCCGGCTTTCTCCGCCCGAATTTACTTTCCACGTTTCTTTTCTTTGCCTTCCTGCTTCTTGGCTGGCCCAGGGATGACTTCCTCGCTGCAGCGACCCTGTCGGGTGCCCTGGCTGCTATGGACCGCCCTGCTGGTCAGCACTACGGCTGGTGAGTAGCCCTGGGTGGCGCGTCCGGTCTCCTACCCCAGCGGGTGGCGAGGGAGGGTGCCTGCAGAGGCCAAGGCCTGTGCTCGCCCTTCTCAACGTGTGCGCTCGGATCCCGGTGGAGGAACCTGCCAGGGAAATCACCTGCACTGTTTTCGTGTAATTTCCCGTCCCCACTCTCGTATTCCCTGACCCCTCCCCCACGGGGGGGGGGAGAAAGACATATTGGGTGTGGTATCTTGACATTTTTAGCTGTGAGGTAATGCAAGGATTAAAAATATTATTTCAATCGCTAGTGAATTGTGTCTATTAGATTTTGGAGATAGAACTGGTAGGTTTTTTCTTTTAATGTAAAGAAGCAGATTTGGTTTACAATAGAAAGAATTAAATACTCACTTGATTGAACCTTATTTTTACATTTGGGTCACTCTTTGGGAATCCGCGTTACTTTTCGTTATTTAAAAATGTTACCTAATGAATAGAATAATGTTGAGGAAGGCAGAGTGTGAGAATCTTGGTACGTTGTATAATACTGTTTGTTGCTGCCATCGTTAATGTTGTTTTGCCCGCAAGAATCTTAGCTATTCTCTGTCTTCTCAGCCTGGACATTTGTACTTTGTATGCTTTTGGAGTTACTGCTGGGCACACAAGTGTTTTGATAACTTTGCTATTAGTCATCTGGCGTCTGTTGGCTTTCCTGTCATTGAGACAACTTTGACCCCGCATCAGACTTCTAGGAGATTTGACTCCTGAAAGTTCTTTGACATTTACTAACGTGTGAAAGGAAACGGTCCTCCCCTTTCCCTTGGCCATTTCCCTTTTAATTCTCAGTCGCCTTGAAAAGAAAAAAAAAAAAAACAATACATTTTCTCACTGCAGTTATTTTCAAGCAACGATTTTCGTAGTCTGCGTTTAGAAAAATTTCAGGAATGAATTCTTAAATTAGTCACATGAAGTATGCATTTTAAAGCGAGTAGGCAAAGTAATGGTTTTTCAAATTTTTAAAAGTAATTTTCACATTCAGTAAAATTTTCAATGCTGTATTAGACACACAGATTATTTGTTTAATTTACATTTTAGAGGTCTGTCGTTTCCTTTTGTGAATTTGATACTATTGTCTATTGTTGATTAATATTTAGTATTTTACATTTTTGGTTGTGAGCCTAGCCTTTAACAACTGAGCCATCTCGGGCAGCCCATTATATTGTTTATTTTAGTAATAAATCTATATAGTATTAAAATCATTGGAAGATCTGATTTGATTACATTTTGAAACTTGATGTTTCAATATTTTTGATTATTTTATTTCTTTCTGAAGCAAAACTGAAATGTTTTTCTCTAAATTTCTTTGTTAGCTGTCTAAATTCTCTAGCCACAAGTCATGTGGCTCCTGTAAAATATGAAAAGAGCAGAAAAGGCCTAGACACGTAAGCAGTCATTCTGCAGGCAGAAATAAAAGAGCGTTTTGTGTTTAAATTCTCCTGACCATTTTAGAATGCAGATTCTCATTTATAGTGTTGCCCTCATCGTTTTGTGACCAGAACTGATAAAAGTCAGAGAAAAATTAACACTGATTTCAAAACAGTTTTTATTTGGTAAATGAATTTCGTCCTCTTTAAAAAGGGTCTTTCTTATCTGTAAAGGCTCCTTATATAAATGTGGTTATAGTCCCAGATGATGGCATTTCTGAAGCTGGATCCTAGAGCTGTCATAACTGGTGTTTACTGAGTGCTTGCTATACACCAGCAATTATTAAAAGAGCTTTACAAATATTTTCTCCTCTGATCCTCCTGACAGTTCTGTAGCCTAGGCTTTTATTCCCCTTTACAGAGAGCAAGAAAATTAAGTGCAGAGTTTTAAGTAACTCATCACAGTAAACTGAGGAGTTGGGATTATAGCCTGCATCCTTCCACACCTTCTCGGTGCCGACAGCAGGAGCAGCGGAGCCAGCAACAGCTTCCTCTCACTGTAACTGGAGCGTGAGATTTGAAAGGAAGCTACGGGTACTGGTCATGCACTGCCATGGTTCTGAACGTGTTAAAAACTTTGTCTCACTCTGTGAGTTCGAGGTCAGTTTGGTCTGCCTAGTGAGTTCTAGCCAGGGCTCCATAGAGAAACCCTATCACAGGAACAAAACAAAAACCAAAACCAACTAACCAAACAGAAAACAACTTTGCCTGATAGTGAACTGGCTTAGCAGTGCAGCTTCATTAAGTAGCAAGTGACTAGGGAAGCCATGCGGCTGGTAGCTGCAGTTAGTGCAGTGGAATGGGAAAAAATGGTGTGCACGGGGTGAATATCTATAAATTCATTAATTATATCTTTTTTTTAAAATATTTATTTATTTATTATGTATACAATATTCTGTCTGTGTATATGCCTGCAGGCCAGAAGAGGGCACCAGACCCCTTTACAGATGGTTGTGAGCCACCATGTGGTTGCTGGGAATTGAACTCAGGACCTTTGGAAGAGCAAGCAATGCTCTTAACCTTTGAGCCATCTCTCCAGCCCCCTCATTAATTATATCTTTAGTAACACACAGGGACTTACTTCATACTAAATTGTTCCCTTTACACTTAATTTTTCAAGTTTTTGTGACGAGGTCTCATGATAGAGCGCTGGCTGGCATAAAACTTGACTTAGTAAAGCTCAGAGACTACAGACAGCTACCATGTTTGGCCCTAAAACCTAGGTCTTTTCAAAAGCAGTGAAGATGACTGAGAAGGACAGGCTTTATCCACTCGAGACAAGGTCTCCTGAAGCGTGACTGGCTTTGAACTCGTAGAGCTGAGGCTGGGCTTGAATTTACCTGCTTCCACCCCCCCTAAGTGATGAAATACAAGGTAGACTTGTTTTAAAACATTCCTCTTTTTGGTCTTGGAGGTGGATATGATAAGAACACATATAATTTATGGATATCTTCTGTGGAATTAGAGATAAGCTGGTAATAAATGACAGGATTTTAAAAATTACTATCTTATGTGTATGGGTTTTTTTGCTCGCATGTATGTGTGTGTGCGCCATGTGTGCCTGGTGCCTGCAGAGGCCAGAAGAGGGAGTTATAGATGCCCTGGAACTGGAGTTAGAGAGGTTGTGAGTCACCTACCATGTAGGTGCTGGAAATCAAACTTGGTCATCTGGAAGAAGCAGCCAGTACTTTTAACTGCTGAGCCATCTCTCCAGCCCTGATAAAAAGGATCTTACTCATTCTTAAAGTAAGCAGGTATTTTATTAGTATTATGAAATAATTTTATTTTGAATTTGCTTGATACAATTATAGTATAAATATATTAAAATGAATATGAATGTAATCTTTATAAAAACGAGTGCTGTGTATTCTGAAAAGAAATTCATTAGGTAATAATTTGGCCTTTGATATAAATAAGAAAAGTGTTCAGAGAAGAAAATATGACCCACCGTGTATTTTCAAAATCTCAGTTATTTCACATTTTAATTATCACTTGTTATCACTTAAGCTGTATGGATTTAATGACTTCTAGAAAGTATGAATTTCTTTTAGGACTTGGTCAGAAAAATTTTAGGATGTGTTGCCTTAACCAAACATGTATATGTTCTCGCTTTTATTGTTGATATAGTGCTTGACAAAAAGTTTAACCTTTTACAGTTTTTGTTCAAATATGCATGACTGTAGTGGCCAGAAGGATAGGTAGAGGAGTATTAGGGTAGGTAGAGGAGTATTAGGGTAGGTAGAGGAGTATTAGGATAGACAGGATCCAGAAGAAGGATAGGCAGAGGAGCATTAGAATAGGTAGAGGAGTATTAGGGTAGGTAGAGGAGTATTAGGGTAGGTAGAGGAGTATTAGGGTAGGTAGAGGAGTATTAGGGTAGGTAGAGGAGTATTAGGGTAGGTAGAGGAGTATTAGGGTAGGTAGAGGAGTATTAGGGTAGGTAGAGGAGTATTAGGATAGGTAGAGGAGTATTAGGATAGACAGGATCCAGAAGGATAGGTAGAGGAGTATTAGGATAGGTAGAGGAGTATTAGGATAGGTAGAGGAGTATTAGGGTAGGTAGAGGAGTATTAAGGTAGGTAGAGGAGTATTAGGATAGACAGGATCCAGAAGGATAGGTAGAGGAGTATTAGGATAGGTAGAGGAGTATTAGGGTAGGTAGAGGAGTATTAAGGTAGGTAGAGGAGTATTAGGATAGACAGGATCCAGAAGGATAGGTAGAGGAGTATTAGGATAGGTAGAGGAGTATTAGGATAGGTAGAGGAGTATTAGGGTAGGTAGAGGAGTATTAGGGTAGGTAGAGGAGTATTAGGATAGGTAGAGGAGTATTAGGATAGGTAGAGGAGTATTAGGGTAGGTAGAGGAGTATTAGGGTAGGTAGAGGAGTATTAGGGTAGGTAGAGGAGTATTAGGATAGGTAGAGGAGTATTAGGATAGGTAGAGGAGTATTAGGGTAGGTAGAGGAGTATTAGGGTAGGTAGAGGAGTATTAGGGTAGGTAGAGGAGTATTAGGGTAGGTAGAGGAGTATTAGGATAGGTAGAGGAGTATTAGGATAGATAGAGGAGTATTAGGATAGATAGAGGAGTATTAGGATAGGTAGAGGAGTATTAGGGTAGGTAGAGGAGTATTATTAGGATAGGTAGTGGAATGTTAAGATAGACAGGACCCAGAAGGGAGAACTGAAGTACCCGCTGGCAGACATCTGTCATGCATACTGTTTGCGGTTATTTTGTAAATCTTAATGGGGTGATACAAAGAAAAGATGCCTGCCCGTGCTCAGCCATCTCATGACGAGATACAGGTTAGAGTGCCTGCTATTTGAACCAAGGGTGGCACTTGGTGGACTGTTAGAATTTTGAAATTTCTTCCTGCTACCTCTTTTTTTTTTTTTTATTTTCTCTGGGTATCTTTTTGCTCTTCTCAATTCTCTTTTAAAATACCCCTCCCCCTGAAGCCCTCTGTAAAAAGAGCAGTGAAAACACTTCCTGGCTTCCTAGCCTACGCTTCTTCCTTTCTGCTGCTTTCCAGTGCAGA